ACACACACACACACACACACACACACACACACACACACACACACACAACTACACTGTCCGCTTTAGCTGTCTGGTATCCTGGAATGAAGTCATGATAGTGTGCGTTTGTCTCCTTCAGCCTCAAAGTACAGTGAGGGCCGTCTACAGCTACCAGGCCAAAAATCCGGATGAGCACAGCTTTAGCAAAGGAGCTTTGATACACAATGTATCAAAGGAGAGCAATGGATGGTGAGTCCACACACACATGCACATTTCAGTTATGAGTCTGCCATATCTTAGGAGTTAGTCACTTTAATCCCCTGCATAATGCATCGTCATCTGCATATACTTGGCTAGCATGGCCAAGTGCAAACACGCACAAAGAACAAAACAGGTCCTCACGTTGTCGTCCTCCGCTCTACAGGTGGAAAGGCGACTACGGTGGAAAGTTGCAGCTGTTCTTCCCAGCGAACTATGTCGAGGAAGTGTCCAACAACACCAAACCTGACATCAAAGGACAGGTGAACATTAGAGTTCAGGTCACAGTTTAAATGGAGTTCAATCAGCACAGCGATCGACTGATAAATAATCGAATGTGTTTGCCACATGTATTAAAACAGGACATGGAAGACAACCCACTAGGTGAACTATGTCAGGGCGTGGTGGACATCTCCAAGTGCAACATCCAAAACTGTGAGTTCTTTAAGTATATGATGCATGCTAGTTGTCACTATCCTCACTACACAGATGTCGCTTTTCCTTGTAATTAAACAACCAATTAATAAAGCCTGAAAACTAAAAAAACAACTCCAACAGCAAACAAGTCTAAAGCCGTGTTCTTCCTCCCTGCTTTTTGCTGGCACTTTGCTTAATTTCCTTAGAGGTGTAACAGTACGATGCGTTTCGATACATGTCTCGGTTTTTGGGTCACGGTTCGGTAAGTTTTTGGTACAATAAGGAAAAACACATGGACTGTATATAAGAAGAGGACATACTGGTTTGTGGACTGATATTTTGAACCCTTGAGTCTGGCAATCTCGCGTTGCCATCTTGGAATAAGGCCGCCACCATCTTGGCTTTTTTGCATCTGAAGAAGGGAAGTGACCATATTTGGAATGCGAAGGAGTGACGTAGAGACGGCGTATAAGATTCTGGTAGCGGCAGCAATCTGTCAATCACAGTAAGCCCGCCCTAAAGCGTACCCTGCTTTATGGTCTATTTGACTCTAAATGGACCATAATTTAATAAATGTACATCATGCTGTATTGAAGAAGACTTGAAGCTAGAGATTGAGACCATAAACTCACGTTTACTGAGGTAGAAGTAGAGTCATTTTAATAGACTTCCATACAACTGGACTTTTTTTTAAACCAATGTAGTTGGGACCCCTGCTGATCAGTAGGGAGAATGCAAGTTATAAGACACCACATCGGCTTCACTCGAAGAACCGAAGGTTGCCACCTGGGAAAACACAGAACCTGCAAAAAAAACTTTTTTGGACTGGACTGGGCTGTGGTTCATTGTACAGAGCAGCACAACAGACTGACTAAATGTACATGTTAACGCCCTATTTAGCGGGGCTCGAGCACTTACAATCTGTGTTGTCTACGATCGAGTGTGCCTGAACTCTGTGGAGGGAAGGACTCGCCGTCCAGTACGTTTTTTCGTTCAGCTTATCGACACATTCTGGTGATGCCCTCGTAAATGAAATGTTTGAAGTGCATCCACAGATATACCCGACTTCAGTTTATCTATCAGCATACAGTTTGAAACAAATCGTGGTCCATTGACTTTGATTACTCCAGCTTACAGAGTCAAACCAACCAGCATGCTGCAGCTGACAGCAACTGGTGCGCTGCCAAAATCTTTCCCAGTAAAACTTGCGCTCCAGTATTTCTGTTCCACGTGCGTGAGAAGTAGATGTAAACAGCCGTTTGGGGTCACAGGGCGTACCGAAAGGATGGTGCATACCGAACCGGGCGTCCCGTACGAAATGGTTCAATACCAATTCACCCTTATTCTGAACAAGACTAAACACAATCATTGTAATAGCACAAAAACATTTTCCCTTATTGTGTGTATTGTTGGGCATTAACCTGCAACCTGGTCATCAAAGCATTGCTCCCCTAAGTGGTCACAAACCTCAAGGGGTAACGGGTATAGTAAGGACCCAGGAGCAGTACGACAAACAACAGGGATAGTTTGAATCAACACTTTATTTTCCTCTGGACACAACACGTAGAAAATCACAGGGAAACAGCGGCAGGATCTCGTGGTCGAGGACAGAAGGCTGAGTGAGTTACCGGGGCAGAGGCGAGGTAGTCCAAAACAGGCAGGGTCAGCAACGGGGAATCAGTCCAAGGGTATTTGCTGGAAGGTCTTGCATGGAAGCGGAGAACGATTTGGCAGTGAGTGTGTGTGAGACTGGGATCTAAATAGTAGGTGCAGCAGGTGGTGACTAGCAGGTGCACTGAATGAGCTGATTAGGTGAGTGAGAGATAGAGTGACAGGATAGTAGTGGCAGAGCTGTGACACAAGGGGTAAGATTTTTTCATTCATCATTTTATCTATCTACCTTTATTAGATGCTGTGCATAGTATACAGATGTTATATGTCAACTAGACGTTGAGCATTGGTCCCCAAATTGTACTTTTTTTTGACACCGACAAGTTAGTGAGAAGGGGCCAGTGAGTGTGAATTGTCCTTTTGCAGGCCATTTAGCCTACTCTCACATTGTGAAATTAGGTCTTTGCATTTGGAGCGATACATGTGCTGTAATTACAAATGTGGCTTCCTGTAAATTATTTACAATGGGATGCGAATATGTCGTTTGTAATTGTCTATGAAAATATGGGAGTAATGTGTCCCTCTTTGCCCTCCCCCCCACTGTGCTTTTTGTTTCCAGTGAAGAATGGTAAGAACGGGAAGCCCAATGTGTTGACCCTGCAGGACGTGGAGCAGGACAGTCTGCAGTTCGACCTGGCAGCGGGCTCTCTGGTGGAGCTGTTCGAATGGTACCAAGTGGGCTGGGACATTACCCAGAGAGCGATGAGCAAGCAGTATAACAGGGAACAAGAGGTTAGCATCTCATGGTATACGATAATGCATATAGAGGGGCCCTCTAAACTAGGTTGTTACACAATTATGATTAAAGTCTGCTATTTATAAAAGCTTTCTATTTCTGTTTACATTCGTATATTTTTTATGACGTTTTTTATGACTCTTGTGGGATACTGTGCTATGATATTTGTTATGAGAAACTATACTATCAGCTCACATTGTGTTTTTTCATATTGTCAGTTTGTGTGACACTAGTTCAGACTAAATCTAAGGACAGTATATGATTGAAACATACTGTAAAACCACAATGGGAGTACGATACCGGCAGTCTGTCAGCATCACCGTGCAAACAGGAAGTGGCTGTTTTTTTTCTGTCCAATCTCAGATCAGACAGCAGGAGGAAGTGGAGAAGAAGGCAGAGGTTGCCATGGAGATGTCGGACATGGTGGTCTACTGTCAGCCGCGCAGCAAGGAGAAGGACCGCTTTGGTAAACACATGCAGACGCACATAATGAACACAAAGGCCTGTGAACGCGTGCAACATGATGATGTGACGAGAAACCTTTACCACAGCTTCAAAGTGTGGTCTACACTTTAAATGTGTTTATTCTTTCAGTGTGATTAAGTCAATATGTTTTAGATAAGTTTTAGATTATAAAGCCATACCAAACTTGTTCTTATCGTTGTTACCTCTATGAAACTTCATCATTTTAAGTTATGAAAGAATTGTATGAATACTGTTCATATACATACACATCAGAGTTGGTTACATTAGAATTACCGGAGCACAAATTATGTCTGAATATCTAGCAATTGAGCAAGAAACTGCACCTGAAAAAGTGTAAATCTTTATGGTAACTCTTAAAATTTAAGTCACTATTGTGTTCCACATACGTTAGTTTGAGACAAAAAACATACCTTATTGTTAGGTTCTAATGTACCATTCCTCACTTCCTGCTAGGGCTGTCAAATTGCCCGTAAATTGAGATGATCTTTTGTTTCTATTTATTGCTGACGCTCACTTTGAAAGCCCACACTGAACGAGGAATGGCTGATTCGTTACGTTGAAACGAGGAGTTACCTGTACTATACCTCCACATTTCACAACAAAAAACGAATTTTAGGTTGCAGCTGGCTGGATGGGGAGCTTAAAGTTTTGTTAATTCTATTAAATATCACAATATAAAACGTGCGTTTTCTGTTTGTGAAGTAAAAACATTGGAAGAAAGGAAGTACTACTCACCCATCTTTTATTTTCAATTAAAGAAAGAGAGGTTGTGTGACTCGGTGCATTCAGTGCGTGTGAGGCTGATGAACCCAGTAGTGCTGCTTCCCTCCCTGTTCAAAAACAGATTATTTGTTAAGCCCTACTCCCTACCTCCACTATTACCGCCGCCCTTGCTCAGATGACACCCATCTTCGAACTCAACCTTGATTTTGATCTCAGCTACACTGTCAAATTGAATGACGCTTTGACAAAATCTCTCCACAGAAATATTAACAACTGTCGAGGTACTCAAAACCCCTTTTTGGGGGTCAGTTCCATTCATCTGACCCCTAGCTAGTCTGCCAGCAGCCACAAATAATGCTGGTTGATAATCTTGATATTTTCCACTATAAAACCTTCAGAGATAAACTTGTAAAGTGACTGTAAAAAGGTTTGTAGTTTCCTTATTGACAGAGGAAAACTTGCCAGGCTAGCTGTTTCCCCCCTGCTCCCAGTCTTTCTGCTAAACCAAGCTAACCCTCTGCCGGCAGTAGCTTCATATTCACTGTACAGATATGATAGTGGTGTTAATCTTCTCATCTACTGTTGTCAGAAAGCCGATTTCCCCAAAATGATTCACAATAATCCAATATTATTATGTCTCTGTAGTATAAAGAAATTAATGTTACACTAATCACAAGTTGTAATACAGGCTACAGGTCATGAGCCTACAGTTGACCAGTGAGTAAATAGTGCAGCTCAGCCTGTTCCGTGAGTATCTACCTTCACTGTTCTTCTACCACAACTCAAAGTGCTTCAGCAAACAGGATGTGACCAAAGAGAAAGATCTGAGGACTAGACAGCTTCCTGTGTGTCACCGATCTAAATTTAGAAATACACTGAGTTGCACATAACCTACACCCACACCGCAACGGTCCTCATCAAGTGAGTCTGTTGTTCTAGTTTGGTTTTTAGATACTGGGATAAGGCAGCATTCTAAATGTTTTTATCACTATGAATCATCTATCTTGCCATGCAATGGCTGTGCCCAGGGCTGTTTCTAGGATTTGAGGCCATTGGAGGGGGCACAGCCCGGACCTCTGTAGGTGGGTCCCCCCCCCCCCCCGGGATTAAAAAAAAAACGAGAGATGTAGTGGACCACTGTCGATCCGTGATCCGTACGGATCCCCCCTCGCCGTTCGGCCTTCATGTGAACCGCGGATTAATTACACAGTTTAACGTTAAACCATCATAGCGTGAAAAAGTTTTACTGATGATCGTTATCCGCCAATGTTCAGTAAAATATGCGATCCGGAACTCGGCATTTATGCTTTCTGTTCGCTGATAATGTTACATTGTAAACAACCAATCCAAGTTGAAATTGACAGGAGGAGGGCTAGTAACATTAGCAGCACCGCTAACGGCTAATGAACGAAGGTTCTGTTCACTTACATTATGATGCGTTCAGGCTCTGTTCAGTGCAAGGTGAATAACGTTATCATGATGTGTAATCTCGTAAAATTTAGTGTTGGTGAGAAACCAACACAACAATATAAATAGATATTAGAGATGAATTATGAGCTGTTTACACTAGCTCAAAGTAGCTTATAATACATCAGTAAAGCTAATGACAAAATACTATCTTTTTTATTTCCATATCATTTGAATTGTGTGTTTTTATGAAGATTAAAAAAACATTATAGATGACTAAAACAAAGTAAGGATAACATTTAGAATTTTTGATGGTTAACATTGACTTTGTTGAAAAGATTTTTGCTGCTATAACCAAACAAAACAGAAAAGGGATCTGTATCTGCCAATATGGATCATCAATGATTGGCAATAAGTATTGGCGGCAAAAAACTTGATCAGAAATCTCCAAAAGTAATATTGCTCCCTTTTTTCTTTTGTGCTGATCCGATCCATGATCCGAACCATCAGTCTTATGATCTGTTGCACAACTACTCAAAACACATATACTGCGGAACATTTGCATGATTTAAACAGCTGTCTATGTAGATTGCTCTTCATTAAGCAACAATAGACTTGAAGCGTAAAAAAAACCTCCCATCTCCGTCCGATTGCGCGTTTTCCGGAGTCAGTGTGGATTGATACATTCAATGAAATGAAGGAGTATGGAGAATGGAGCGTTCCGTGAGACGTGAAAATGATGGGCGGCATTAAACGTTCGTATGAAACGTTCTCAATGGGGATTGGCAATAAGAGCGCTGGCAAGTCTACAGGGTCATGAAGCGGGCACCCTCTCAATAACTTTAACAATGTGTCCCAGAACCACCTTTTTATCTGCACCCACGCACTCAACACAGCCGTCTAAAGCAAGCAGTGTTCACTTCTGTCTATAACAGCATGCTAGCTTACAACAACCAGCTAGAAGCGTGTTCTGTTATTTGGTACGGTGTCGTCACTGGCAGCATGCTTCACCACCAATCAACAAACCATACACTCTTCCTTAGCTACCAACAAGCAACAAACATGTCACTTACATCACCAGCTAGCAATATTTCAAGCTAACTATCAGTAACCAACAACCGGATACCGGAGTACGTGTCAGCAACAACACCTCGAGCAGCATCACACTGAGCACAGGGGCCCCTCAAGGCTGTGTGCTCAGTCCACTGCTCTTCACCTTGCTGACACATGACTGCACCACAACCTACAGCACCAATCACATGGTCAAGTTTGCAGATGACACAACTCTGGTAGGTCTTATCACCAACGACGATGAGACCCACTATAGGAAGGAGGTCAGCCTTCTGACCACATGGTGCAGAGACAACAACCTCCTTCTGAATAACAGCAAGACCAAGGAGATTATTGTTGACTTCCGGAGAGGCCACACTCAACACCCACCACTGACCATCAATGGTGCTGATATAGAGAGAGTGAGCAGCACCAAATTCCTGGGGGTGGACATCAGTGAGGACCTCTCATGGACAGCCAACACAACATCACTGGCAAAGAAAGCCCAGAGGCACCTCTACTTTCTCCGCAAACTGAAGAAGGCAAGAACACCACCACCCATCATGTGCACCTTTTACCGAGGCACCATTGAGAGCATCCTGACAAACTGTATCACTGTGTGGGGCGGAAGCTGCACTGACTACAACAGGAAAGCCCTGCAGCGCATAGCGAACACAGCTGGAAGGATCATTGGTGCCTCACTCCCCTCCCTGCAGGACATATACGACACTCGCCTCACCCGCAAAGTGACCATGATTGTGCGCGACTCCAGCCACCCCTCACACAGTCTCTTCAGCCTCCTGCCCTCTGGGAGAAGATACCGGAGCCTCCGTGCTCGCACCACCAGACTCTCAAACAGCTTCGTCCACCAGGCTGTTAGGAAGCTGAACTCTCTCAACTCTCTCCCTCCTCTCTTTTAAGACTCCCCATGTCCAACTGCTGCTAAATCCCCATGTCCAACTGCTGCTAAATACAGATTGATAGTTTTTTTTGTTCTTTTTTCTCTTATTATATATATATATATTGTCTAAATGTTTTTTAATCTATTGCACTGTATTCACTTTATATGTTTATATATTTATATGTTGGACTAGAGAGAAACATCTTTTCAACTCCCCTGTATGTCCAGTACATTGTGGAATTGACAATAAAGCAAACTTTGAACTTTGATAATAACACAGCTAAATATACTCTATATAATCACAGGTTTCATTATTAACAGTTTCAGTCCAGTTCATTGGTCTGGACCATTATCAGCTCAACATGTACCTCTCAAATGACTGCTCCTTTCTTTGTCCCCACAGACTCTTACAGCTACAAGGAGATCCGCTCCTTTGTGGAGAACAAGATGCCAGGAAAGAGCCGCACCAAGGACTTCCTGCAGTACAATCGCAAGTCCCTGAGTCGCATCTACCCAAAAGGCCAGCGCGTGGAGTCCTCCAACTACGACCCTTACCCGCTGTGGGCCATTGGGAGTCACATGGTGGCTCTCAACTTCCAGACTGCAGGTACGGTAGTTTATCTGGGCTGATCTCCTCTGCCGCTCGGTGGAACAACTCAGGGGTATGAGTCTTTAGACAAAGACACAGATCCTCAGTCTTACTAACTGTGGCCTGGAGGTAATCCAGGACACAAGTGGAGTGCAGAGGCATACAGCATTTAAGGTTTCCTTAAAAGTATTGCCAAAAGACATTTTTCACAGTTAAGCAATGTCAGTGAGCCGACAAAAGACCAGGGCCCTGGAACTGACACAGCTCAATGAAATGCAGCCGTCATATTTTGATTTTGTATGCACGGTCTATAAGACTTCTCATTTGGCGTCTTGGACACAAACAAATCTGTTGCCACATGAGGTAACACAATGGTGATTGAATAGTTTGCGGTATTACGAACTGGGTGTCTGCGGCAACATTAGTGACACGATTTTTTTCATTACCCAGCAGTGTCCGTTAGAGAGGGTAGGCGGAGCTAACGCAACAGACTGACTTTTTTGCTGGTCTCTGCCAGCGCTGTGAGTAAACGGTCACTATGGTCGTACAGAGCGATGAATACAGACAATGAGACGACAATAACAAGTGCAAATCCCCGCCTCCTCCGTGAATGAAGAACCCCTCACCCTCAGACCTCGCCGCTCAGTTAAAACTACACACTTTACGAACTACACTGTTTATGAAACTAGCTCTGCTGTTAACATTGTGACTATAGATGTCAGTGTTTGCTGAGGTGACTTGCGTAGCTAGCTAGTGACGCAACCTCAGCGGCCATTCTAATCAATGACTGGCAAAACGAGTATCTCAACATCCACTGGTGAAAAAAGCCTTGTCACTCCGTTTGAGCTGAATTTTAATCAAATATTATAAGACACAATACCTACTTTGAAGACGCAGTGTGTAGTTATTTTAAAAACACAGGAATTTTTTTTCATTTCCTGAAAAGGAACAGTTTTGGACATACGATGTTTCCTGCCTGACAGCGGCGATATGTAGAACAGAGGTTTATATATTATGTATGTGTTTCACCCAGATAAATACACCCAGTTGAACAGCGCCCTCTTCACTCTGAATGGACGTACGGGCTACGTGCTGCAGCCGGAGCTCATGCGCGACGATAGCTACGAGCCTCAGCAGGAGAGGAAGAAGGTCAAGTACGACATCGTGGTTAGGGTACGTCTTTCCACAAACACACACAGTAATAACTGGCTAACACATACACCATCATCACCATCATCATCATGAGGTTGCGTGAGGATATATCCAAGTGGATGATGCTGACTGGCTGATCTTTACTTCGTAATACAGTAAGTAAATGTTGAATGAGCTGCTGGGGAGAACTTCTTAACAGCAGCTGTGTGTGTCTGCAGGTGATCGCTGCCAGACACCTCCCAAAGCCCGGCCGCAGCATCGCCAGTCCATTCGTAGAGATCGAGCTGTGTGGGCACACGGAAGAGAAGTTCAAGACCATCGTCTATCGTAAGGAGAGGGCGGGAGGGTTGACAGTTAAACCCCGTGGGACGGGGAAAGGGGGGAGAGGAAAGAAATGAGACTAAAGTGAGAAGCAGTTTGTGCTCGTGTGAACGGTGCTGTCGTCCTGTCGGCTGCAGGTGACAACGGTCTGAACCCGGTGTGGAAATCCCCGGCAGACTCGGCGGTCTTCACCGTGCTCGAGCCCGAGCTCACCTTCCTGCGCTTTGTGGTCAATGAAGAGGACATGTTCTCCGACCCCAACTTCCTGGCTCAGGCCACGTTTCCTGTTAAAGGCATCCGCTCAGGTGGGAGCACACAGCACAGAGGGCCAGAGCTGGTGGGAGCATCAAGCTCACGAAATACTCGTTATCAAGCAATACTATATTTTATATGTTACACCTTTATTTAATGTGCGGTATGAGAGATCAGTGAAGACAAGTCATGTATGTCAAATATTCTTACATTCATTTGACACAGGGTGTGAATACTTTAACTCTGAGCCGTGGTACATTTTTTACATTAAAAAGATCCCGCAGCACACCAACAACCAAAAAAGTTACAAAATGACACATTGTAGCATAATACAGCATATATGGTGACAATTTTATGACAAGTCTCTCAATGCGTTGGTCCTTACTTAGTGTGAAACCTGGGCCTGTTTAGATGAACACAAAGCTGACATCCAGGCTCACACGAAGCTCTTCCTCAACAGCTCTCAGTCTCTCTCTGTTTTTAGTATACACATACATATATATATGTATGTGTATATGTATGTATGTGTATATATATATGTATGTATGTATGTATGTATGTATGTGTATATATATGTATGTATGTGTAT